TTTTCTATTCTATTTATATGTCCGTAGCAGTACACCAGTTGTTGTTAACATAACATAACATAAGCATACTCCTCCACCTTTGCTCTTACCGGAGGCAGTTGTCCTGTCTGCTCAGTGAATGGAGAAGCCTGCTAGTTTGATAGCGGCGTCCGGAACGGTGTTGCTCAGCCAGGTCTCCGTGATCATCATCACACAGCTGTTCGTGTTGCGCGTGTTCCTCAGTCTCAGCTCGTCTATCTTGTTGACCAGTGATCGGGAGTTGGCGAGAAAAAGACTCGGTAGTGCAGGTCTGTGCGGGTTAGCTCGTAGCCTAGCTTGAAGGCCGCTCCTCTTACCCCGCTTTTGCCGTCTTTCTCTACGCCGCCTCCGACGCCTCTTCTGCGGGGTGATGATAACTCCCTCGAGGTCTCTCTGACGCTGGATCTCCGGCAGAATGAAGTGCAGGCTTTCGGGAGTTAGGTCCTGATGCCGTGCTCCGATATTAAAGAGTTCATCATGTTCATACTTGATAAGAGCATCGAGTGCTTTAACAAGTAACAAAAATACACACAAATACACTATAATGTTGCATGTATACATGCTCCTTGTACAGTAACTAAATATGTAACGGGGCCCAAAACATCTTTCATCACACCATCCAGCCACTTCTCCCCTCCCCTGTAGTTTTTAACAAGCACAGCTTGACCCACAGAAAAAGACCGGAGTTTCCTCCTGCTGTCTGGCGGCTTGGAGACCCCAGCTGGCTGGAAAAGCTGAGGCCCCTCTGGTTTAACTAGGGACAACCTAGTACGGACCTGTCTTTTCAGAAACAGCTCTGCTGGTGTTTTCTTGGTGGTTGTATGCGGCATGTTCCTGTAATTAAACAAGTTAGCAAGAAGTTAGCAATACAATGCTGCAATGACATGCCACCAACTGCTCTGTTCTTTGACAAAGACTTCTTGAAGTTTTAGACCAGGCGTTCTGCCAACCCATTTGAGGCTGGGTGATAAACTGGAGTTTTAATGTGTTTGACTGCATTCAGCCTAAGAAATGACTCAAATTCACCTGAAGTAAACTGAGGTCCATTGTCTGTTACATCCTCTTTTGGTAACCCATACGAGGTAAATAGGTTTCTCAAAACCTCCATAGTTTTACTGGCTGTGGTTGTCTGCATGTGCCCTATCTCAGGCCAGCGAGCATATGCATCCATAACAACTAGAAACATCTGCTTTTTAACTTCTGCAAAATCAAGGTGTATCCTCTCCCATGGACCTGTAACCCATTTCCATGTATATACAGGTGCTGTGGCAGGCATGCTACGCTGCTGCTTACAAATATCACACAGATTCACCTCATTTTCAATGTCCCCATCAAATGTTGGCCACCAAAACAAACTTCTGGAGTGAGACTTCATTTTTACCGTACCCCAATGGCTGTCATGTAACTCTGATAATAACCTGCCCCGTAGTTTGTCTGGAATGACCACCCTGAAACCCCAGAGAACACAGTCATCTTCTAATGTGAGGTCAAACTTCCCTTTCCCATATGGCTGTAGCACCTCATCTGGTACATGTTTTAGCCACCCTGACAAACCATACTGTTTTACTTTTGCCAGCACTGGATCTGACTGCGTTTCCAGTGCTATAGCTTTTGCTGTGACAGGCAGACTATCTAAATATGACACCCTGAACACTGGATTCGGTTTTGGAAAACTGTCATTGGGCACAGGGAGTCTAGATAATGCATCAGCATTTCTGTGCTGCTCCGATAGCTTGTACTGGATTTCATAGGTATACGCTGCTAAAATCAGAAACCATCTTTGAATCCTAGCAGCAGCTAAGGGAGGTACCCCCATTTTTGGACCTAAGATCTTAAGTAACGGTTTGTGGTCTGTTATCAAAGTAAACTTTTGACCATAAAAATACTCGTGAAACTTCATCACGCCATGGGCCATTTACCATGCGCTCCATCACTTTACAAATATGTGACGTTAAGGTGATTGGCCTGTAGTTAGCTGCAGTGCTTGGATCTTTTCCTGGTTTCCTTAAGGGAACAATCACTGCCTCCTTCCAGCTAACTGGCAACCAATCTTCCTCCCATACCTTATTATACAACATTAAAGGGGCCATATGATGAAAAATCCACTTGTACAGTGTTTCTGAACATATATCTGGGTAACCTGAGTGTCTACTGATCCACAAAATGTGAAATAAACCCATCCAGTCCTTTGTTTGTGGTCTGCATCGTTGTAATTTCACTGTGGGATTCTGCTAAAACAATACCCTCCCCTACCATGGTATCTCCACCCATGGACTCCACCCCCAGCCTAGAACAAAACTTTTGTGCAGGTCTGCCAAGCCTGGCAGAAAGCCTCAAGTGATGCAGCCGATGAATACCCAAATATGCCACATCCAAAGGGAGTAAAGAAAAAATAGTTAGGTTCTGATTGTAATGCTCTGTTTCTTGCTTCCCACATGGCCGCATCATATGCACCTGGCTTCATGTGGCTGTCTGTGTTTGTGGTTTTAACACCACATGCAGGATGCCTTTAATTTAGGGGTTTTCGCTCCGCCTAGTAACTATAACTTGATTAACAGGAAAAGGCTGACAGTTTTGTTCTCTTAGCTGTGTTGATTCTGTTTGCATTATCTCTCCTGCAAGGGTCCTTAGCCCCGCAGCCACTCCTCCACCATATTTTAAATTTTCGTTTGCTGGATTCCATATTGGGAATGCAACCACTGGCTCCGTCCGAGGGTAGCATAAACATTAGCACCTTAGCACTACTGTGCTACCGCAGGCTACGGCATATCGTGGGCGTGCTACAGAAGTTAATGGCCGTGCAACATGAGCTGCTGGGCTTGCCACAACGAGCCAATGGGCTTAGATCAGTGATATCACACTGACAAGACGTCACACTGGTAAATTTATTTTGAGGGGGGCTAGAACCGAGCGTTACATACAGCTAATGCTGCAGCTAACAGATGTAGATGCAGATGTAGGAGAAGCCGCGTTTACGCAGACTTTGAATTTTTGCAAATAAAGGTGCCTAAACATGCACAGGACACATGGAAAACACACTAAAGAGCATATAAAACCAGAAAAAGCATATTACGGGCCCTTTAAATCTAACTGCTCCACTCTGATTTGCATCATATTCAGCATTCCTTTCGCTTGATCATCTCCTTGTCTAACTTCGTCTATTTTAAAGGGTCCAGTGTGCGCAGGATCTGGCCAACTCAACTTTACCGTCTCTGTGTTCCAGATTACTCTGCGGATACAACTGGTGTCGACGGGGGAGTATTTTATGGCAATACTTCCTCTCTTGGACAGTATTCCTACTCGCCAAGCCTTTTATTTCAACAAGCTAGGTACCCTTTCGAACTATGCGCAGCAATATACCTACTCTCAACTAAATCACCCAGATGCCCTCCCGTAGAGTACGCTTAGTCTGGATGGTTTCTACATGGCGCCCAACGTGGGGCACAAATTGAATGCTAGGGACCAGGATCTTGAGGTGATTATTGTATTGAGACAAGATCCCTGAACGAGATTGGTGACGTAGTGCTTTCGTGTTAAACTACCAAGGACCCACCTTGGGAGTAGGAGTTAGGAGATTCAACCAGTGAAATCAAACTGAGGTGATTTATTGAAATTAGCCAGAATTGTGTAGTTGGTTCCCTCAGACGAGCTTTCAATTGAGGATTGCTAGGACCGGCAGTTATTGAGGGAAACAACATATATAGATATATAGTCTACACTTTCTGCCCTGTTTTCTAGACTAGCACTTCTGGTCGAGGCTGTCGACCTCCCATAAAAAACTTGGCCACCTCCCTCACTGGAGGGAGATCTGTCTGAGACGATCCACCCTTTGGAGGACAGAGGACTTGTTATAATCACAGCCCTAGGACTATAAGCCTAACATTCATTTCTAGAATAATTAGATTCAAAAATAACCCCTGGTATAGGACTCTAGATTACCCCCTCTATATTACTCTAGATTCCCTCTAGAGAGGGAATAACTGTAATCTCTCCTCGCTAGGATGTTAGGTGTGTATGAGGTGTGTAGTAAAAGTCAGTATATGACCGTGGTATGACTGCTCAAAATATAAAAATGTAAAAAGAAAAGCAAAACACAAAGACCAAAGTCTAAACCCGAGAGTGTAGACACTTAAGGTTTTAAAAGATCTTGGTCTCAGAGACTAAGTCCCAAAATGGGGATTCAAAAGTCAAAGTGACGTGGAGTCCTTTAGAAAAGTAAAAAAGAACCCCGATCTTTTCCACAGCGTTTTTATAGCCAGACGGTCTCTTTTTTCCAAGATTCTGTAAAACCTCAACAATGCATATTCAGAGAAACGAGATACATCCACAGCTGATACCAAGTTCAACCAAGTTCATATGTGGTTTTGATGTCAAAGCAAATAAGGTAACACAGGTGATACTAAGTTCATATGTGGTTTTAGCTTGAAGACCGTGAACCAGGCAGATATGCAGAAATGCTATACACCTACGAGCTCGTATGTGGTTTTGCTCAAAGTATGGCACACTTATCCTGACCTCACAGGTGCGTAGGCACCGCAGGTGTGTGTGGGATTGAAAGGAAATATAAAAGCCAAAAGTCGTAGCAACTATATGACATATGAATGGAAATGATGAAAAGATTAAGTGATAACAAAAGAAAAAGTAAATATATGATGCAAATGATAAATTGATTAAATGATAATGAAAGAAAAAGTAAATGATGAATGGATTAAATGATAATAAAAGAAAATGTAAATATATGATAAAAACAAATTCAACAATTGCATAACTCTTTCTGATCTTTTAACAATATAAACACTTTAAATTCAAACGTCATAGCTGATCCCAACTGACTGGTTCATATGTCAGCAACAAAAAATCAATGTCAAAAAAGTACAGACAGATTCCTGTGATTATAATTGTCTTATATCCCTTTATAACAACAGTTATACATCTGTTAGTCAATACATACTTATGAATACACGAGTGATGTTGTTAACTTGGAATCCTTTGGATCAGTTTTACCATTGCAAAGGATTAGCATTTCTCTCCAGTGTGAATCATCATGTGTCTGGTCAGATGTCCCTTAGAACTAAACCTTCGACCACACTCAAAGCAGCTGAAAAGTTTCTCTCCTGTATGAACTAACATGTGTCTGGTCAGAGACACTTTTTTGGTAAAACGTTTCTCACACTGAGAGCAACTGAAGGGTTTCTCTCCTGTGTGACTCGTCATGTGTCTGGTCAGATTTCTCTTAGAACTAAACCTTTTACCACACTCAGAGCAGCTGAAGGGTTTCTCTCCTGTATGAACTGACATGTGTGTGGTAAGACTACCTCTTTGGGTAAAACATTTACTGCAAACAGAGCAGCTGAAGGGTTTCTCTGCTGTATGAACTAACATGTGTGTGGTCAGATGTCCTCTTTGGGTAAAGCTTTTACTGCAAACAGAGCAGCTGAAAGCTTTCTCTCCTGTATGAACTAACATGTGTTTGGTTAGATTTCCTCTGTGGTTAAAACATTTACTGCAAACAGAGCAGCTGTAGGGTTTCTCTGCTGTATGAACTAACATGTGTGTGGTCAGATGTCCTCTTTGGGTAAAGCTTTTACTGCAAACAGAGCAGCTGAAAGATTTCTCTCTTCTATGAACTAACATGTGATACGTCAGACTTTGTCTATGGGTAAAACTTTTACTGCAAACAGAGCAGCTGAAGGGTTTCTCTCCTGTGTGAATCATCATGTGTTTGTTCAGACTTACTCTATTGTGAAAACTTTTGCTGCAAACAGGGCAGCTGAAGGGTTTCTCTCCTATATGAACTAATATGTGTCTGGTCAGATTCCCTTTTTGGTTAAATCTTTTACCGCACTCCGAGCAGCTGTGTGGTCTCTTACCAGTCTTTAGTTTCTTATTTTTCAAGTTTAATTCTGACAGATGTTCTCCTGTCTCTTTCCAATCATCACTGTCATCAGTCTCAGGTTCATCAGAGTCTTCAGTCTCGACCTCAGTCTCTGGTTGTAAACGTCTCTCTGGATCCAAGTCCCTCTCTGGTTCTGCTCCTCCACAGTCCTCTCCATCAACTCCTGTTTCCATCTGTTCAATTTGTCTCTGATGAAGCTGTGAGGACTGAGGTTTCTCTTCATCATCTTCACTCTTCAGAGAGACAGGAGTGAAGGGGAACTTGGCTGTATCAGCCTCCTCTAGTCCTTGAAGCTGTTCTTCCTCCTGACTGATCCACAGTTCCTCATGTTCTTCTTTAATGTGTTGGGGCTTAGTGTCCTCCTGGTCCAGAATGTGGCTCCACTCCTGCTGCTCAGGTGGAAGCTCTTCTTTACTCACCAACAGCTGCTGGACATCTGCAGGACACAGTAAACAAACATTAACGGTACTTAGACTGCTTTTTAAATATTAATAAGGGCTGTCAAATTCATTTTTAAAGGCTGAAAATCAATAGTTCACTAGAATTGATCACATTTTAATCATGTGTGGTGGAAGAAGGTGGACAGAGTCTGGTGCTTTGTGACAGTGAACAGTGAAAAGGCTACCATAGTCATCCTCAGATAAAACACAGAGATCCAGGTCAATATTTAATTTATTTTTCTTAACATGATGTTGCCCTGTGTTTGAAAGGCCAGATGCTGGAGGGTTGTGTTGGGTTTGCTTTTCCATCATATTTTAACAGTCAAACAATCATCCAGGATTTCTTTACTTTATTTGATTTTTGTTTGGATTTCTTTGTTAAATTATTTTTTATACTTTCTCCTATGTCCCAGCAATTGGACCTGATGGTCTCCCTTACTTATTTTCCACATGGTTAATGAAGCCAGGGGTTGTTTATTGAAGATTTCTTTTCATAAAATGTTTAAATAAACTTTTTAAAAATCTGATATGACTGTTTCTGATTAACTGGAGTACAACAACGTGTTGGTCACAGTAAAATGATTTAGCAGTTTATAGCTCACATTTGAAAAGGCCTTGAACTGACATTCTTGACCAACAACAGCTAAGACAACAGCAAAGCTAACAGACGAGATCAGCTTGTCACAGCCGGTCTCATCTGAGATAAATGGCCTTCAAACTTATTTAATATTAAACATTTAAAGCCAATAAGCATTGCAAGATACGCATGAGATTCCATTTCAATTTATTAAATCACAGACTTGTCAAACAGTCTGGCATGTTGTGCTGCTGTTTTCAAGAGTTAATAACTGAAGAGAAGAACTCCATCGAGAGACGACAGGAAACGCTCAGGGGACGAGTCCTCCATGTTGTCAGGGGTTGCTGATGGATCTGAATCTGAGAGCATCTTCTGTAATAAAGAAAAGTAATCATGGAGTTTAATGTAATGTATAATGAATTTTACTGTGATGTTTATGCCTCAGACCTGAAATCAGATCTGTCCTCAGGTTCTGCTAAACTTCAGGTTCTAAAGTTTGCTTTAAAGACAGGAGAACTATTAAAGAGGAAAAACAAAATATATAATAAGACATGATGAATCCAATAATATGATCAGCTTTATGAATTTATGTTTTAAGACAAAAGTGTTCCTGCCACTTTCTATTGAAGATTATTTTAAACTGTCATCACATGGGCCAGCCTGATGAATTAAACTAATGTTAAATATTCTCATATAATCACGACATAAACAGGGTTACAATAATTAACTTTTGCCTATGACTCAGCAGTAGCCAGGGATGTGAGCTAACAGGTGAAAACTGAAACAGCAGAATCAATCTGAGAGGCAGAAATCAGAAACTTGTATATTTTAATATATATAGAGTTTATATTAACTCAGTGTTAGACGGACTGTGGCTTACTTAGTATGATTCTGTAATACTCCACCTTCTTATATCACTTTAAAGTGAGACAGCTCTTTACCTGATAGAGTGATTCAATCTGGGACTTGTGTGTCTCGTACATTGAAGCCAAGTGTCCTCTCTCTTCAAGTCAGTGAGCCTATGGACAGGGACAGACAGATGAGCAGAACCGGTTTATACTGGTTTTTGTTAGCCATGGATTTTTTATTTTATTTCTGAAGTGCAAACACATCAACACATTTAGTTTAGACAAATCTCACTTTAAACACTAGGTGGCGGTATTTGGCTGTTTAGGTTATTGATCAGTAAATTGATCATTTGTTGTATCTGAAGCAAGTTCAACATATCCAGGTTTTCTTTGAGAAAGCTGGTTCAGCAAAGCCAGAAGCTGCAGATAAAGATATCTGATAGCATGAGCTGATTATGAACTTTGTCTGTTAACTCAGGCGTTCTGCTTCAGGCTCTCAGCGTGTCACAGAAAGGGAGTGTGTGAAACGTCTTTTGACCATTCTTATTCACAAAAGCGTCAAGTGCAGGCGGTCCAATATAATGAGGTGTGATGATGAAGTTGAAGTGGTAAAACAAGATACTGCAGCTGCAGATAACAAATGAGAGAACTACACTGCACCACAGTGTCTCCTGTTGAGTTATTATTTCGATACTCACAGTACAACTGTGAAACTTAAACAGTGTAACTATGATCTTCTATATTTCTATCCACTGTTACAGCGGTGTCAGCCTGACAGTAGCTCAGTCTGTAGGGACTTGGGTTGGGAACCGGAGGGTCACCGGTTCAAGTCCCGGTGCAGACCAAGTTTGGAAGTTGGTCTGGTAGCTGGAGAGGTGCCAGATCACCTTCTGAGCACCAAGCCAAGGTGCCCCCTCCCCACTGTGGGCAGCTCCATCTCTCCATTAGTGCATGTCCATATGATCCTGTTTGTGTGCATGTGTGTGTTGCATGACTACAGAGTGTAAAAACTGAAATTTCAATAAAGTAAATCTTCTTCTTAATCGGCAGCAGAAGCTGATGTAGCATTGGTCCACTATTGAATCCTCTTTATTGTCACCAGAAAACCTGCTATTTGAAAATGACAGGGGATTTATCTTGGTGTCACAACTATCCAAAATCCTGCGTTTTGCACCAGAAGTCCTCAAATGATGACTTGGAAACAGAATAGGGACAGCTGTGGTCGGTAACGATTTCCCTACAGACAGTAAGAAATAAATCATTTCCCAAAATCACATTCATGTATCCACAAACATGACAGCAATGAAAATACAAGTCACTTCTTTATGTAATTAATTATCTAACCTTTGAGTCCATGGTGAAGGCATGCTCTTCAAAATGAACACTGCAAAGACGAGATGATGGTGTAGGTCTCCAGTCCTTCTGTCTCATGTTCACCACCCACTGCTCCAGTCTGCCTGTGTCACCACCACCTAAAGGAAAACTGTGCAAAAATATAATAATAGAGCTTCATATTATTTATAAAATGATGTACTGTGTGCAATGCAAAGTATGAATCATTTTGTCAGCCATATTTCCTTAACAGTAATTTAGACAGCTTGGTTACATAAGGGGTTTAAATGAAAACTATTGTGTTAATTATTGTCTAACTCTGTTTGTGTTATACTGTATAATGTATGTTCATTGGTGGAAATTGTCTGTGTTGACCATAACAGTGCTGTGAAAAATAATTTCCCCATGACAATAAAGTCTAAAAAGTCTAAGTCTGTTGCAAAATAATAATTCAATATTTCATCAACATGCTGTATGTATATAAAATAGTATTTTATTGGTGAGTTCCCCCAATCAAAGCGTCCTACAGCGAGCTGGAGGAGAGACGAGGGACCAGAGAAAAATGAAATCCCTGTTTAAAATATAATGTTGGTGAAAAGAGGGAAATAGGACGACATAAATATCAATGTTGAAATTCTTTTGAATACAGAGGCTGTGAATGTTCTCTGGATATAAAAAGGCAACAATAGCCTGTAGTTTAATCCTGGTGTTTCTCTTCGTTAACGATTATTGAAGCGAAATCAAAAATAAATGCATGACATTTAAAACATATTAACATGAGTGGGGAAAAACGCCACACATTCTTTTGTTGTGCCTCTGTCTCTTCCTAACGAACTTAACAGCAGCCTGTTGTGTGTAACGCTGGTCTCCTGGATTAGCACCTTCCTTTCAAAAGGTGTTAAATACAGATAAAGTCACAATCACTGCAATGTTTGTCAATTTTTAGTGCAATTTCTCAATAAGCGTCATTAAATTTACAATATGATCAACTTGTGACTGTTGAATTGGTCGTGTGTGGAAGACAATGCAGAATATTTATCAGTTTAAGCAGCATGATGCTCGGTTAATATTACATATTACACACCGCCGGTTGTTGATGTTTGCGTTCTCATTTCAGTTAGTCTCTTAAATCAGTAACAGTTATATTAAATCACATCTTACCTTTAGTTTTATCTGGATCTTAAATCAGTAACAGTTATATTAAATCACATCTTACCTTTAGTTTTATCTGGATCTTAAATCAGTAACAGTTATATTAAATCACATCTTACCTTTAGTTTTATCTGGATCTTAAATCAGTAACAGTTATATTAAATCACATCCTACCTTAGTTTTATCTGGATCTTAAATCAGTAACAGTTATATTAAATCACATCTTACCTTTAGTTTTATCTGGACACATAGAGAAATATTCTCCCCTCGTATATAGTCCTATGAATTTCAGTCTGCACGGTGAAAGTAAAACCTGTTCCTCTCGGTTTAGTCCACTTATCACTCAGACTGTAAACATGTTCACATTAGTAATGATGCAGACCAGATTACAATTATGTGACTTTGTTTTTGACCTAGATACTTTTTTGAGACTTTACCAGACGTTTTTATTTTTGCTGTAAAATAACTGTACAGTCAATGAACCGCATCTATGAGCGGATTTTATATTACGATTCTTGGTTTTAAATACAATTTCAATTTCAATCACAATAACGACATAACAATATCAAGAAACATAGCATGTCAGTTATTACGTTTGCTCAATTTAAAAAATAAAATAAAAAGATAAATCATGCCGGATAAGTAACCTAGCTTTACAACATTTCAGCTAACCTTAGACTGCTTATGTGTTAGCTAGCTAGATAACAACTCTAACCAACCAACGACACATAAATCACTTTTTTACTTACCGAAAAAACTGCAAAGATCCCTTATCTCCCACAGGTCGGTTAGAACAGTTTACTGCAGAACAACTCATTTTTCCAGCTCAAAAAAGACGAAAAAACTGAACGGAAAAGTTCAGTGCCAGCATAGTTTCAGGATTCCCCCCCGATTCTTTACGGAAATAAAAAGAGAAATAATGTCCGTCACAGCCAGCTATCAGTAACATATTACTGACACCGTAAAACGTTAGCTCCGTTAGCCTACTTCAGTGTTAGCTAGCTAGCTAACGACATTACCCCCGAACAGCACATTAAACATTTCAACTTACCAAGTTAATGCAGATATCCTTCAATCCCACAGGTTGGTTAGATGTGTTTACAGCAGAACAACTCCTTCAGTCAGTCCAGGAGAGACAAACACGGAGTGGAAAAGTTCAACGGCGTCTCGGCTTTCCTTCACTACGGAACTTTTGTTATTCACAAAGAGAGCTACGCAAGATCGGCGGCTGTCAATCATCGTCAAATATGACGTAAAAATCCAGTTTTTCAATCTCAAATAACTTCTTTAAAACAAAGTTCACAGAAAAATGAGCACTTGAACACAATGTAGGATGATAATAACTCATGATCACAGCAGAGTTTAGGTTTGGAAAAAATGATATGACGAGTATTTTAACTTTCCAGTTTGACCCACATCCCATCTGTTATCATTGAGGAGGCGGGGCTTATGACCTATACTGCAGCCAGTCAGTAGGGGGAGCTCTACAAATAAAAGCTTCACTACACCGGGGACCGTCCATTCTTTTTACAGTCTATGGTCTAGTATCGCTATCTATGTAGTCTTTTGTCCTGCTTTTATTTTGAAGGGTTTTCCTTTAGTCCAGTGTCACATGGGTCCGCACGACTCGCTTCTTGTTTACTCTGAGTAGTCCTTTATTTCTGCAGCATTGAACTCAACTACTTTAGCTATGTTAGCTAGCATCACTGAGTGTTGCTGTATCTGTACCTAGAGTGTCCACTGTTCCAGTTAGCTGGTTTATAGTGTTCAGGACTTCGTTCATTCCTTCCCTACCTTCCTCTGACCCAGTGTCCTTCTTTTTAGTTGCTGGTGGGTTCTTCGCTGGAGAGAAAGGCTCTTTTCTTTTGGAGCTCTCGGTAGAGACCTCCATCTTAGCATCATCATGGCCGTAAATCTCCGAGCTACTGCGGGCTGAAGAGAGCTTCTTGTTCGTCTTCATGCTGCAATTTCCGGAGCACTGTAAGGTTAAAGCGTCGGTATGATGTATTAGAGATTCATACGATCACATAGAATTGAGGTGGATTTTAAAGTATGTGTAAAATTGGGACAAGCAGACGGAGCTCAGAAAATACGCTGCACCCGGTCCGCCATCTTACCGGAAGTCAGAAGAAGAAATAAAGGATATTGCGTTTATTTCCGGTTGTTTCTTAGCGCGTGTGTGTCTGTGTTAACGTTGTAGATGTTCTGTAAAGGGAACTAAAGCGGGTTGTTTCCACCCGGACCATTGAGTGTGTAACACAAGTTGTGAGTAAACGCTCCTGCTGAGCAGACACGTGATTCTCCGTGTGTTTATTAATGATCGTTAGGGTGCTAACGTAACAGTAGATGATCAGAGTAAAGTTGTAAAGACGTCAGCGCTGAGTTGAGTTTCCCTCTGTGACTCTTGGATGTGTGTAAGATGGCCGGGTTTAAGGATCTTAAAGAGTTATTCAGTCGACGGCTGCTCGCTGCGGTTATCAGAGATATAACAGAAGAAAGAACAACAAGTGGATACGAAGAGGAGCTCCACCGACAAAGAAAACTGCTGGATGTGATTTTAACTCCTGAAATCAAGCTACAGAGAACAGGTTGGTTTTCTTTCCACTGCTGGAAACGTGTTTCCTGCTCATGTTTCAGATAGCAGAGCCTTTAGCTAACTTCCACAGACGCACACAGCACAGTGTTAGCTGCAGCTAGCTCCTGCTAACAACATCATTGAGTTTACTGGACTAAAAGACTCTTTAAGTCTTCACCTATTGAATCCAGCAACGGATCTGGTTATTGGAGATACGTTTTAGAAACCTTAACAATATGCTATTCAGTTGTATCTTTGGGCACACAAACTTCAGGCCACCCTCTGCATCAGACTGCGGTCAAGCCAGCCTCCACTTCAGAAACGATAGTTTATTCTATCTTCTTTACACGACGGCATCATGTCATTTCTGTCTCTACATGGTCGTTTACCATTCTCCTCTGCTCTCTGTGTCACACACACACACACACACACACACACACACAGGCACACACACACAGACACTTGAGCGCACACACAGGTGAGCACACTTTCACCAGCGGAGGCCTGGGTGTGCACAATAATAAAAAGTCCTTAAGAACCATCAGAAAATAAAGTAGGCCGCTTATCTTACTTCAGACTTTTCTGAGCATGTCTCTCTCTCTCTGCCGGTGTTGTATGTTGTCTGGTTTTCAGTTTAACTGGTTACCTTTGTTTACAAACGTCAAAGGTTTGTCATGGCGACAGCAGATGTTACAATCACCGAGAGGAAACGTAGCTGACCTGGCGAATGCCTGAATGATTAAGGTTATAATTTAACTGATTTCAAGTCGCAACTCATATCTACTGCGGTAAATATGATTGTATGATTGAGCACTTCATCCCAGCCACCTAATAAAAATGCAAAATAAAGAAAATATAATACATGTTCATGATCGCGCCGAGCTGGATTCGATCTCACTAAAACCAAATTAACCCCTAATCACCTGCGTCCTGCCTTACAGCGTGCACCACCTGAACAGTGACACTTCATCAAATCCATTACGTATTCGTTTATGATGTCAGCCTCCTGGTCACATTTTAGTTTGGCTGCTCCTACAACAACTGGTTACCTCAGTTTATCTTCAAATACCCGCACATATAAAGGTTTTTACCCGAGGCTACAGCCTTACAGACCACAACATAACAGACCTCTACACCACTTTGACCCATTCTGACAAAGAAATACTTTGAAACAGTGACGATGTATTTCAAAACAAACACTGAGCCACTGTTTGATTCACATGACAGGAGACTGCTGGGTTGATCGTAGAAAAGCTACCTGAACATTTCTATTGCCATGCTTTTCAAATGTAAATGTCCACGGCCACTTCTGATTGTACAAGTGGGCACTATACACGACACTTGCAAAAAAATAAAATAAAATGTATGCATGATCGTGTCGAGCTGGAGTCGAATCTTTATGTTGTGGTCTGTAAGGCTGTAGCCTCGGGTAAAAACCTTTATATGTGCAGGTATTTGAAGATAAACCGAGGTAACCAGTTGTTGTAGGAGCAGCCAAACTAAAATGTGACCAGGAGGCTGACATCATAAACGAATACGTAATGGATTTGATGAAGTGTCACTGTTCAGGTGGTGCACGCTGTAAGGCAGGACGCAGGTGATTAGGGGTTAATTTTGTTTTAGTGAGATCGAATCCAGCTCGGCGCGATCATGAACATGGATTATATTTTCTTTATTTTGTATTTTTCTTAGGTGGCTGGGATGTAGTGCTCACTCATACAATCATATTTACCGCAGTAGATTTAAAACGCGACTTGAAATCAGTGCAAATATGATCAGACAGGCATTCTCCAGGTCAGCTACGTTTCCTCTCCAAAGTCGGAAACATCAGCTGTCGGGTCCGTTCGGTAACCAGACAATGTGGGAACCAGACAACATACAACACCGTTACTCAGGAGATGCGCTGTGACCAT